AAGAACATCTCCTTCTGTGAAGAGCTGTTTTACGGAAGACTTTGTCAGTCAATCCTCGTTCGGTGAGAAAAATTAAAGCTTTTTGTAAACAACCTTCGAACGCTTCAGAAGTTTAAGTTTGATCGACACATGTCAATAATATTCGACTAGCCCAGCCAATCACGAGCTCCGTTCGCTGGCGAACTGAGGTTTTCAAAATCCAGGGGTTTGTCTGCAAGCGTTTCCTTCCTTCCCCTCCCCCACCCCTCTCTTTCGTTTTTTGGCCCTCGCCCCATTTTTCGCGCGGGAAAAACACCGAAAATCCCGTTCTTCGGTCTTTCTTTGCCCTGAAATCCCACGGAAACGCTTGCTACGCAGGCTAGGGCTGTCGAGGCGTTTCATCCGGCATTGTGTTAGACAGTATTCACTTCTGACACCATGTAATATGTCATGAGAATAGGGAAACCAAGACACAGACAGTTAAGTTCAGAGCAGAATCAATATGTATTCAGGTATGCATGTTGATTTTTTGCAATGCCCAGTCCCCAGGCAAGATCAGCTTACGTAACTCGATCTGTATTCTAATCCTATTGTTACAACATGCATCAAAAGATCCTAATTTTGGCATTTAGAACTTACTGGGTAAACAAATACAGAAGAAGTTGATTCTCACCCTTGCCGAGTGCCGACGAACAACAAATTGTCACGTTAGTGGTCATCACTAGGGACTTAAAGATCCGAAGGCGGCGGATGTCTACGACCGCGAGCGGAAGTTGAAAATAATAGACCAATTTCGATCAATTAAAATTCAGCTTAACACAATAGACCTCAACACGAAGTTCTGGGGAATAAACCACACAAACTCTGTAGTTATTACCCAGAGCCTCGTACTGAGGTCTATTGTTTTAGGCTGAATTTTAATACATCGAAATTGGTCTATTGCTTGCAAATTTCCGGTAGCCGTTGCGCGAGGTTTCCCGCCGTAGTTGTTGTTTGTGCGACGTCAAAACGAAGTGTCTAAAACGTGAGTAAATTTTTCTTTCCTTAAGGCCATTTCAAGGAAATTTATCGAACATATATAGATGATGAGGTGACATTTTTTCTAGCTTTTGACAGATGTAAATTGGTTGTAGAACTCATTTAATTAAAGAAGAAAACTGACTGACTGAAGTTTCTCTCTCTTCCTAAACAGCTTCGAAAGTTCGTGTGTGCAAATAAGCCTAAATGGAAACGAGTTCAAAGAAAACAGTCCAGTAAGTTGTTCTCAATTCATTTTTCTTCTTAATGAAAGCTAAACCAGAAATTTAATCTAAACAATTTACCCG